TAATTCATACATATACTTTTTTTAATATTTTTTTTTCTTCAAATGTTTTTGCCCATGATATGGGACTAGTAAGGACAAACCAACAAATTTATAATTTAGTCTGTTGTTATTTATGAAATAGTGTGTGAGGTCAAAATATAAACAATTTTAACTTGAAAAAGCACATATCTTGAGTACATTAAAAGTAACAATGTTTATTTTACTTGATGTTAAAAATGTTGATTAAAAAATTTAATAAGCAACATTTAGAACTCATATAGTACTGTTTTTTAATTAAAATTTGATTCTTCATCCTCATTTTTAATGAAATACAGGATAATTCGGACGTATACTTTTTAATAATGTATTTTTTCCTTAAATTTTTTTCCCCATGATATAAAACTAGTGAGAACGGAACGAAAAATTGATAATTTAATCTATTGTTATTCTTAAAATAATAAGTAAAGTCAAAATACAAACAATTTTAAACTAAAAGGTACACATCTTGAGTGCATAAAAAGTAACAATGCTTATTTTAAATAATGTTGAACTACATAAATATTAATTTTTACGAACTATCCAAAACTCTGTTTCAAAAACAAACTATGACGTTAAAAATCTATTTTTAATATTTTTTTGTAGAAAAAAAATTAAATCAGGAGGAATTTGGCTCTTACTGAATGAAGTGCATAGTTTGCCAAATCAATTAATCAATTTGTCATGTTAATCACGTGAACTAACCATTTAAAAACTTTTGGAAAGACATTTTCTGCAACTACTATTAAAATGTAATAATATTCCATAAATAGTGAATATTTTTAAGTAAATAAAAACTTAAAATATATAAAAGCATGTCAAGCTGAATAAATAAAACTCTAAAATGTCAAAAATATTTATTTTTTTTAGAAATTAAATGCTTTACTAAATCTAATTGAGTATATAAATACCCTAACAAGGAATGTGTTTTGAATTAACGCATATTATTAACGCATATTATTACAAGCATATTATTATACAGATATGAAGAGCGTTGTGGATGATACAGTGACATTTTCAGAGGTATTTATCAAGCAATGAAAATAACATAAGTGGTAGCATCAATATGGATATGACTAATGTAACAGAATTGTTTTTGCTTTAACTTTAATTTTAACTTAACTAATCCACATTAGTTTTGAGTATGCTTGCACGATTTTATTTCAAATTCGGTAGTAGTAAAAAATATGGCAAAGAATCATTAAACCCGGCTTCTAATAAAACTATAAGAAAATAGTTCGGACACCACTTTTTTCCTCTTAGTCAAATTATAGCATCTCTGAATATGTTCATTTACCTGGTTTTTCCACTCAGCTCTTTATATGTCCTTACTCTTAGATAAAGAAATCATTATTTTATTCATGAAATTGTTGTCATCTTATGGAAATTATATTGGTTAATCAAAAAAATGCAAAATAAAAGTGTCCATTACATATGTAATAAGCATGTTTATAAAAAACAAATTATCTCCTATTATTTAAAAAGATTAATAAAAATTGATTTAAAATAGTAATTAAAAAGTAAATTAGGAATTTACTATTACCATAAAAACTCTGTTGTTTACTTTACTATGTGATAATCAAGTATGTTATCTTGCGATTGTATATAAAAGTGTAAACTATATTTGGGACCTTCCAAAATTTTTCTCCAAAATGTTTTGGGAAATTTCGACTGATAAATGACAAAATTATTCTAACTCTTCACATAAATCCCATATCTACGCCATCTTTTTTCGAAATTATAATTCTCAGGAAAATTTCGAAATGCAAAAATAATGTAAATGTATTGTTTTTTAATGTATTGTTATTTAATGTAATTGTTTTTTAATGTATTGTTTGTCACGTAAACGTAAATGTAATGTTTTATTAACTAGCTCTTTTTGACTAGAGACATCATATTTAAAAATTACGCTTCGAAGCACAGTGTGTAAATAAATAATGAACTTTCATACAAAAACCTATTAATTTAATTGAACCTTATGATGAGTAATGAAAAAATTTGATATTTTCCATTGAACATATTTATCTTAGAAGTTGTTGATTAATCAAAAAAATTTATATCTGACTATTAGTTCAACATTTCATTCAGGATAATTTGTTCAGCACTCTTATTTTTTAAAATTTGTTCCGAGAAATTCAAGTAAATTATAATAGAGTTTTACATAAAATTGTGATATGACCATGATAAAGCTTCACCATCAATAATTTATTTAAAATAAGCTGTTGTTCGAAATGGTGATGTGTAGGAATTGTTCTTTAACGAAAGGTTATATTATTCATAGAAATGAATTTTTATGTATTTATGCTTTAAATTAGCATTTAAATTTCATTGTATGGTAATGGGAATAGATCATAAAGTAAAAACAAACACATTAATGGACCTGTTGATTTTGCTATTTTTTTAAACTTTGAATGCATTCAAATTCAAGTTTGAACACGATGCAGAAGTTCTTCGAAAAAATGCGGATTTCTTCTTTCAATTAGAGACAAAAATAAAAAATTTAAAAATAGGAAACGTTAATTCTAAAAGCAAAATTTGAAAAAGCTTAAGACTAACTTTACCATACTTCCATGTAACGCATATTATTATGAAGAAATGTTACAAATACTGAATTTAAACATTTTACAGCGTAACTTAAAATAATATTTCTAAATTACGTTTTTTTCCAGCCTAGGTAAAGCAAATTATAATAAACATTTCGTTTTCGCAACTTCTTCTTTATGTTATATATATACATTGTGAAAACTTGTTACGTTATTTGAAGAAATTTTGCTGGAATGTTTACACCTACTGAACTAATTGTTTGGTATCCTTCATTCATATCTATTGGCTGTATATCGATATGATAATTTCTATGTTCGTTTCTAGAAAAACGATGCAAAAATATGAAAAATATTTTGCAAGTTCATACCGCTTCTAGCAACTAAAGTAATTCAATATAAGCGCTTAAAAGTCATCCAATTTTTAATAAGCTGCTAAATAGAATATAAAGTATATAAAGCTAATCTAATTGTTGTAATTAAATAACTACACTTCAAAATAATAAAAGAAATTATAGTTTGCGAAAAAAAAAGACTTTATTTACATCTCGTTTCAAATTTAAAATAATAGTTTTTTTTCTCTTTTAAGCATTAATGAAATGTATTGACCAAAGAACATAAAAAGCTAAGACATCATGTTGAAAGGATGAATGATTTCGAAAATATAATAATGCATTTCTCTCTGCAAATAAAATTTTAAAAAAATAATGTATGATGGTAAATAAATCAAAACGCTTAAATATTCAATTTATCAAAAATAAGTCACATTTATTTATTTTTTATTAAAAAAAGCTATTAATCCACTACATGTTTTTAATTCTACAATATTTTTCATTTCATTTTCATCAAAAAGTACATTTTATATTCAACAGTGGCGAAAGCTGTATAGAATAAAATGAAAGTTACTCATAACACTGGAATTGATGCATTCCGCTAACTTTCTTTATTTTCCTCAAAGTCTTATTATTTCTTCATTTATTATTGTAAAATTTTCGACTAACTTTTAAAACACAATGAATGCAGGTGCAAATGGGGAAGCAGATGGTCAACGGGCAAAGTGCAGATGGCGGAATGATAAGTACGTTTCTTTCCTGCAATACAAAAATCATTATCTTCCGGTATGAAGGAAAAAATTGACATAATATGCAAGATCAGATTTAATGTATCTTAAAACTCAAAAAGCAAATGTGTCCATTTTATGGAATCAGAAACTTGTGGATTATTTCACTAAACTTCAATTCATCGAAATTTTGTTAAAATTATCCCTGTGCTATTGATGGCTTACAAAAATATTTGACGCCCGGTGCAAACTCCTCGATTAAATACCGTAGAGTAATTACTCCATTAAAGTGTAAATCACTGTACGAGAAAAAAACAAACTGTAAATCCATATTTCATATCCCTTTTTATGTAATGTAAGAGGAAATATTTCTAAAGTAAAAATTTATGATTTCTAACAACATACTCTTAAATGTGTGTTTTTAATTAATGAAGTATTAAAATTTTAATGTTCTAATACTTCATTATTAAATTTGTTTGAAAATCTTCTATAATCATTTATAAAATATTTTGCTTGAACCAAATAATTACCTAAAAAAATAATTTCAATATAAAAATAGTAATATATTTAAAGTTATATTGTAATTAGTCGTCGATAGTATGCCCTCTTTGGCTGAATGCCTGGACCCGTGACCCTCTTCACCTCAGCTCAACATACCACTGTGTCAGCATATCCCTTTCAATCTAAATTAAATATTATTCCAATCCTTAAAGGCTGTTTCACTGTTACATAAAATTTTATTTATTTAAATTTTTTCTCTAAAGGGTATGAACGGATCAGGACCAGCACATAGCAGTGGTGAAACAGTTTTTCGTAAATGCATCCTGCCGGTTGATTATAATTAAAGTTGCAGTTTTAAAGGAAAGTAAAAGAAAAAAGAACTACTCGGTATTTGTTTTTGCAAATGGAAAAAAAAAGAAGAAAAAAAACATTTAGAACTCAGTTTATATAAATGACTTTTCTAGTAATGACTAGTGACTCAGATTTTTTCATTATCTTAAAAAAATATTTAAAAAAAATGTTAAGTTTTTTTTTTCCTTAAAAAAAAATACAATTAAAGACGTTGAACTGAGCTGTTCTAACACTAATGATGAACTGAAAAAAAGGAGAAAATTACCACTGTAAGTGAAACTGTTCTTTTTTTTTTNTTTTTTTTTTTTTTTTTTTTTTTTTTTTTTTTTTTTTTTTTTAGCAAAGAAAGAAGAGAAATTCTTTGATGTTTTTCTGAAAACGACTTTACATGCATTTTTTATAGAAATTTATTCACTTATTTATTATCTGTTTAATAGTTATTAATTTGCATTTGACATGCTTGTACGCTTCAAATCCTCCTCTCCGCCTAAAATCATAATAATTATATTAGTTCCATTTAAATACAATAGATGGCGTTGGAAAATTCTTTGATCCATTGTTTCATTCGAGTTGATCCTTTTTCCCAAGTATATCATTCATTTTTCTTTGATTCTTTCATCTGCATTATCTATGACATGATTCTAATGAGAGAGTAGCTCAAAGGCAGCTTTAGCGGCTCCAGAGCAAATCTTCACGCGATTATTGATCATGGTGTCATTTCTCTTCAACATGGATTATTATCAACACAAGAACAAACGTGTTTACACCGCATAAGCTTTTTATGAATCATAATATTTGTATAGAAGCATATTTCGGTATTTTCTTCATAACTACTCCATTTTTAAAATCCCGAGCCGAACGCATTTTAAAATAATATTAAAAAGAGATTGGAATTGTTAATTTGATTTGCAGATGTAAGTAATCTTTGAACCTTTGACATTCTAACAATATGACTTTAGTTTTCCATCTTTCATAGCAATTAAATTATTTTTCTTCTACCGAGTAAGATAACTTTGCATATAATCATTCAAAGTTATCGGTTTTGAAATTTCCAATTGCCGCTCTTTATGCTGTGTAATGTTTTCTATTGCTTAAGTTGTTATTATGCGTTGTTTGATTACATTGTAGCTGTAAGTTAGTTTTTAAATAACTGATAATAAGTGTTTTTATTTAATTATTGGTGAATTATTGATCAATAACATTTACTGTTTGGTTACATTTTAAGTTTATGTTTTTAAATAATAGATTATAAATGTTTCTATTCCATCAATAGTGATCATTAAGTTAGGTTGTAATGAAGTACATAATACATTTTATTTACAGATTCGACACTCCAGTATTATGTTTTTTCCAAAAGAAAATTTTGAATCCGGAATTCCAGATTAACAAGACGGGATGAGTAGAGAGAAAGAAAAATTATTTGTTACATGGTTTAAATATGGTATGTTTGATTCTGCACTGGTAATTTATTTCCGATTTTTGAATTTACAAAAATATGTTTTTGCATTTTTACAGGTATTTAATTTAATAAATCATTAAATTAATGATATTTGCATTATTAAAATACAGAGAAATATTCATTTATATCTGATAAAACTCTGATGTCAAAGATATTAAGTGTATCTAAATAATTCCAACAAAATTGTCCGTTATCAAATGAGCTTGTTGGTGCAGTATAATTATTAACAAGATTAGAAAGAAAAATTATTTATTACATGGTTGAAATATGAAATGTTCCATTCTTCACTGGTATACTGGTGATATATTTCTGCTTTTCTGAATTTGCAAAAATATGTTTGTAAATTGTTATTATGTATTTAATTTATTAGCTATAAAATTAAAATATTTTTATTATTAAATCACAGAGAAATATTTGTTTATATCTAATAAAACTGATATCTCAGATATGTGTATCATAAGAATCCTAACTGTAAAATGTCCATTATCAAATAAGCTTGGGGCAATATAATGATAAGCCACATTTTCAACAACTGTTCAGGAAAGCCTTTTTGTTCAATTTGTATGTATGCAATGATATGTTTCTGTGTGTTGTTTTGTTTATATATTGAAAACTTTTAAAGTACCTGTCTGGAAACAATATTAGGAAACAGTCTGATGCAAAAATATCACATATGAAAACAGTGTGGCATAACATTAGAACAGACTGTATAACAGATGGGGGAGACAAGAACTATTGTTCCAGGTCCCGGTTTAGTGTTTTTTAATTACTTTATAAGAAAATTGCCGAGAATTCATTTACATCTATTTAAAATCAACAATTCTGAACATTGATTTTTAAAAATTATAAAAAATATATGTCAAAGTATTCTTTATATCATCTCTAAGAGATAGTGGAAAAATCAGCTGTATAATAATGAATAGAATATTTATTTATTTTTCCACACTTAAATTGTTACTGACTCTGAAAGGTAAGTATGTTAATATTAACATATTTCTAATAAATTATTGAGTGATAAAACATTTCTCTGCTTTTCTTCCTTTTATAAGATGATTTTAAAAGTTGTTACCCATATTAATAATTTAGTTATGTTATGAATTTTATAATAGGTACTACTAAAAATAGTTATTCACAGCCATCATGCTGAAATATGCATAACATATTTCTTATCATTTAAAAACTAAATTATTATCTTATTTAATCATTTTTCAATAAATAAAAATCAATAATATGATCGGTAATCTTTTAATACCGCAACTTTGAATTGAGTGCAGAATAAAATCTATTTTTAAAGATTCTCTCTATATCTGCTTAGCACATTAGCATAGAATTCGAAAACCATTATATGGCTGCTAATGTTTTTTAGCAGTGGTCCCCCTAAGTGCCCTTTCAGTTTGCCCATTGATCTAGGCCGTGCCTCCCGTGCCCTTTTTGTTAAAATAAGCCACCATCCCTTAAAAACGCTGCCTTTTTATTTTAATGTTTTAGGAAGATGTTTTCTTAACCACCTGTTTTAATGAAAAGTCCACGTGAGATTAATTTAGTTACTGATAGTTATTTAACATCATGATATTCAGACCCAGAGAGAATTTATACACAGAGATTGTCTTTAATTATTTTTCAAAAGCTTCAAATTTTTCTGTTATTTTGATGAGTGAGAATTACTTTGTGAAATATACACATCAAATAGTATATATAAGAAGGTAATTTAAAAGTTCAGGATTAAATTTAGTTCTTACTTAATGTTACATATTTTGATAAATTTAACAGTGTTAAGTGAGTAACCTTTCAATACTGAAAGAGCCCCTTTCTGTGAAGAAGCACTCTACCCTTTTTTATTCCTAGGGTGAACTCTGGTTTTGAGAATACCAATTATATTAATGATTTTTATTTGTTGAAAAATGATTACATAAAATAATAATTCACTTTTTAAATCTTAGGAAACATGTAATGCATTATTCAGAATGACAATAGTGACAGTATTAAATCTGTTCTACAGGTTTGTTTTTCTTATGGCAGTTATTGTGAACAATTTTTAATTCTATATTTTTATAAGTATTTTTGATACAAAATTAGCTATTTTCATTTTATAGCGCATAATGAATAAGAAATATGAAGTTCATAATTTAATGAAATGTAAGGAATAGAGCACAATCATAATCTAACATTTAAGACAATTAAAATTGCATAATTAATATTTTTAATAAGCATGCTTCAATCATAGATTTTTTTAAAATATTTTGAGAGCAGTTTATTTCTCTTCTTTCAATTAATCTGTGAAAATAAAAACATTTATTAACAATAACAGAAATAGTTATCTGAAGTACTTAATAATATAAGTGTTTATTAAATATTAAAATAGATACTCAATGTTGATCTATTAAACTATTATTCAATGTAAGATAATTATATATGATTTTTTTTTAAAAAAAAGGTCAAATTAAAGGACGTGTAATTTTAATTCTATGAAGAATTAATAATTGCCTCTTTTAACAAAAAATAGAGTTGAACTAATTTTAGCTTTGAATTTGCAAGTTAACATTAAGTAAAGATTACAAAGAAATAATTCAAATAAATACATCTTTATAAGTATTTCTAATATAAGTCACATTTCCTCTTCAATTCAGATCCAAGCTTTCTAAAATAAAAATCTTCTGTCATAGATTTATTTTGTTGTAAAGTATGTTTCATATTTTCTTTAACAATCATTTTGTGGTAAACATATTTTTTGTTTTGTTTTTCAGTTATTGTTGTATTTGCAATATTTTACCCACCTTACATCAGCTGTTCAAAAACAGAATCATTTCTTCACTACATCAATCCAAGTATTGTAAAACAATATCCACCCACTAGGCCTCGCCATCAGATTGAATATTTCAAAGGAGAATACATTAAAGGAAGAGAATCTGAAATTCATAAAAGATTTCAAGGTGATAAAGTATTTCAAATAGAACCTTCTGATGCTATAGATGTTGCAAAATATTCTCAACCAGCTTTAAGTCATCAAGATAACCATTCTTTAACTGTTAAAGTGCCTTCAATGACTGTTTCCACTGTTAAATTACCTTTGCCGACTCAGTATTCTGATATTCCAAATTTACCTGAACAAACAGTTCCATCAAAAATAGTGCCAAATAATGCATCTAAATCTATAAGAGATTCAAGATATATTGAGTCAAGTCTAGATAAAAACTCTAATTTACCCAAAAGTTCTCTTGAAAATGATTACAAACTCCAAAATGAAGGAATGGCTGACATTCAGTCAGACATGGGTTTCGATGAGGAATCATCTCTCAAAACATCTCAAAGTAAAAATAATTTCAGTGATATAGACTCCCATATGCTTCCTGTACCATCTGATGCTATTTTAAGCTATCAAACACCTTCTGTGGACATAGAAAGTGATTCTATTTCAGAAATAGATGCTTTACACGAGACTAAAGAAAAGGTCATTAATATTTCTAGTCAATATTCAGGAAAACCAATTTTGACTTTCTCTAATTCAGTTATTCTTAACACTGATTCACCCGAATATAGGACTGAACAAACAAACACTTATAATAACTATCATCATGTTGGAGTTTTAAATTTAACTGAATCAATTGAAGATGTTCTTAGCACTTCAACTATTCCATCCATGTATGATGAAGGTAATTTCTCAAGTAATGTACCTTTCTATAAAAATGAAAGTGGTAAATTATCTTCAGGAACAGTTGCTGGGATTGTCATTGCTGTTCTTGTGTGTGTAACACTTTTATCTAGTAAGTATTTTTTTACTTTAATTTTATGTTTTATATAATCAACTAGTGAACTATGTCTAAATATGAAAGGAAAGGATAATAGCTCTGGTTCATATAAAAGAAAAATTTAGCATTGTTGTATGGATTGATCCTATAGCAATGTATTAAAGTATGCATAAATTATTTCATATAGTATTTGTACAGTTCGGGATTGATAAACTGTTTTTTGTTGTTGACAATTTTAGGAATTTATCTTAACAAAAACATAAGCATTTTCATTTATATATTGATTTTATATTGTTATTAGGTAAGTAGTAATTTTAATAACTCATTGCAGGGAAGCTTTAATGCCTAATATTGAATATACGTATGCATGCATCAGGGTTTAAGCTGAGTCTAAAAATTCATTAGCAAAAAAGCTAAAATCTGAAAAAAAGTTTTAGCAAAATGCTAAAATGCCATTAGGCTTATAAAATTACTTTATATCAAACAAGTACTGTAAGTTATCTGACAAAGAATAGCTTAATGTACAAGAATATCAAAAAGAATACCTATAAAAAAAAAAAAACACATTTATTATTTATCAAAACATTTTGGTTTATAATTAACAATCTTCCTTTCTTTCATGTTTGCCCATTTTACAAATGCTTCTTGAAAGTTAAATGCACTTTCAGGGCCCTCAATATTAATCATTAACAAATTGTTTACATGGTTGATTAACAACCTGTTTCGAATATTAGTTTTAATCAAATTAAGGCAGCTAAAGCCCCTTTCACAGTCAACAGTGTGCATTGGTATTGTTGCACAATACTCTATAACAGAAGTTATTAATGGGTACTGTTCAGACACATCATTGGTATATAAAAATAAAAGTAATTCATTAAATGACATGTTTTTACATCGTTGCATTAAGATGTGTTTAAATAATCCCCATTCACAAAGTAATTCAGTTTCTGTAAACTGAAAATCTTTTCTGGGAGATTCCGAAAACAAATTGAAAATGCAACGGATTTCCTTTACACCATAATGCTGTAACTCTTCCGAACTATGGGGCATCCTGCTAGGTATAAATATATTGAACATTTCGATTTTATCCAAATCTCCCAATCTATCAGTAATATTTTCATTCAAGATATTTAGATTTTTTCTCCTTCTTGTTTGATCAAGTTTTTTTCATGGATGTTAGCGTCATGGTTTTTCGCGGCTTTTTTTTAATGGAATTTAGTAAAATCCTTTAGCAAAAATGCGAAAATGCTTTGTTGAATTTTAGCATTTTTGAGGGGTCTTTTCGCATTTTGCGAAAAAAGCTACCGTAGCGGAAACCCTGGCATGCATGATTATTGAATGTTCTGAATTGTATGATTTTTTGACAATTTTCACCATGGATAAAACAGCCTCATCAAAAACAAAGGCACTTTCATATATGTATGGATATTTTATTGTTATTAAGTTATAATTTAAATAGCTCAATTCAGGTAGGTTTTAACGTCTAATATCAAAAATAGTTTTGTTATAAGATATAACATGTAATGAAAAGAAAACATCCTGGGGAGAAAAAAAAACCTTTTATTACATAAATTTATGTTATATACGGATTATATTTTGTATGCAAAGAAAATATCTGCTAAGCAGTAAAGTTGCTTTAAAGAAAATATTCTAATACTATAAAAAAAACTTTTTATTTTCTAATAAATATTAATGCTGTTGTTCTTTTTTATGAAATTACAAGGTAAAATAAAACTGAAATATTAATATTTTTACTTTCCTAATTGTATTTTTTTAATCAAATTTCCATGTAAATAAATTCAATATGTCATATCAATAGCCAATTTCTGACATCAAAAGCTGAGCCGTGGGTACAGTTATTAGAGACTGGTGAATTATCACTGTTTTGGATACACAGAAGAGACTTCCTAATATTTATTTTTAATGTTCTCATTTAAAGTTACTTTTAACTAAGACAGGTTTGATAATTCCCAAATTCCCTTTTTTGTCTGAGAATGTTTTTTCCCCCCTAATAGTTTATATGGGAACACTGCTTTTCTGTTTACTACCTTTTTCATTCAATTTTTAGTTAAGATATGGATACAACATTTTATATTGTCTCATTATAACTTTCAGTATTTTAATCTGAATGCTTTTTTCTTAAGTTAGTATGTGTTTTTCTTTTTTAACTTGGTCACTAAGTATTCATAGGTAGCTTAACTATTGAATTTGTCCTCTAGGTATGCTTACCAAAAATGGCTGTGTTTCACGACATGTTTACAGAGAAATTTCTTTCAGTTATTTCAAACAACTTAGCTCTTATTCTTTGAAATATGGAGGGAAAAAATTTCTTATTTGTTGTCTGATAGAAAAATAGTTTTATTTAACATATTTCAAGGAAATAAAATAACCCTTAACAAGCATCTAACACCACACTGCTAAGCTGCAAGCTACTGCATTAGCATTCAGGCCACTAGCTAAAGTAAAGCTTAACTAATGTATAAACACATTATTTTTCAGAATCAGCTGCCTACTGTACTCCATTTATTTCAGAGGTTAAATCAGTAAATGTTTGCTACTATTTCACCAAGTCTTATTCAGAACTGAAATTCCAAAGTTGTGTCCTACTATTGTCAGAAAAATTACAAAATTTTAAATACCACTTTGCGAGCAATATTTTACATACCTTCAAGACATGCACTTAGGAAAAAATATATTACCAATTTCTAATTTGAGCTTGACAGATTATAAAGTTATATAAAAGAAGAATGAAATATAAGAATACATAAAGTTAAAGTAATGATTAGATTTGAGAATTATGAAATCATTTTTAATCTTGCAAAAATGACAAGGTACTTTCAATAAAATTCTAAAAATTGCAAAGCAATCAAAATTCAAAGAAATGTATTTTTTTTTTTAAATTTGTCTCCAATGCATGTATTTTAAGATGCTATTGATATGTGAAACTAAAAATCAAAATACTTGAGAAGAAAAAACAATTAGCAAGAGCATTAAGGTATTAAATAAAATTTAAGAATTAAAAATCAACAAAAAAAAACTATACAATGCAACAAATTATAATTTTAATAATCAAACTACAAAATATTCTTTTTCTAGAAAAGAAAGGAGAAAAGTGTGAACAACAATGATGCAATTATAAATTTTACATGAAATTTTTAGATTATTATCGAGAAAATAAAAAAAAAATTCAGAATATGAAAATTAGCAACATAAATATAAAATTACATTGAATTTTGGAAACTAGAAATCAACATTAATGACAATACTTATCTTTTAGTCTTTAATAATTAGTTCTACCCAAGAATGAACTTAGAAAAATCAACAAACAATTTTCAATTTTAATTGTGTTCCTGCTATCATAACCAATATAATTAAATTGATGTTAACTTTTTTCAGGAGCTCACATTTTATTTAGGCTTTCAAAGTGGTGCCTTTTGTTAAAAAATTATGCTTAACTGAAATAAAAACCAAAACTATGTAGCTTGATTTTGCATTAAATTTATTTTTAGTTTACAACTTATATGAATGAGTTTCAAGTCAATTACACCAAATAAGAACCTATGTTTACTACATATTTATTTCATTTAGCTAACTTGTTCTAATTTTTTTTTACTAATTATTCATGTATTTTTCTAATTGCCTTTATGTGACATAAAAATCGTTAAACAGTCAACAGTATTTGTATTGAATTTTTAAGCAAAGTCTTTCAAATCTTCCTTTGGTTTAACACCTTGCAACTTACTGAAGAATAAATTTATTAAATTAAAAGGTAGTTTTTTGAAATCTAAAGCTTTTTACCAAAAAATAGAACTAAGTTATTCAATTCTTTTTATTGATTTTAAAAATAATTTTTAAAATAACTATAAAAATATTTACGTTTGACTGTCCATAAACAACAATTATAATGCTGCAGGTTAGTAAAATGGCATTATCATCTGTTATGATAGAATAAAAATATCATTTGATATGCTTCAGTAGCTTTGAAAATTTATAAACTGAGATCAGCAAAATTTACCTATTATACAAGTATAAAGCGAAGTTTTAATGTGCAAAAAAAATCTAAATATACTTACACAAATCATCTATTTATGCTTTATCTGTTCTAAGACTGGATCTATAAAGTAGAAATAGTTTTTTTTTTCTTGTCTGCATGATACCAAAAAGAAATTAAAATATTTAAATTCATTAAACAAGTATTAAAAATTGATAATAAATGTGGTATCAGGTTAATATAATGAACAAAAAAAATTTGAACTATGTTTTAAAAATTATGCAAGCTAACAAACTACATGGAGATATGAAGACATTTAAAAAAAATGACCTTGGATGATTCTCGCCAATAAGTGTGCCAAGTTCATTTTTCTTTTTTTTAAATTTTCATCAATGTGTTTTTTAAGTTTTTTATTAAATAAATGTAAAGGAGTTTTACATTTGTTTTAGATTACACATAAATAGTTCTAAAACATTATTTAACTTATCTAGAAAAATTTTAACTAATGCAGAATTAATAATTTTTTTAATAAAAAGTTATCTTTCCAATTTTTATAACTATGAGAAATGGTGGTGACTGCTAATCTATATCTCAGCTATTTTTTTTAATGATTTCTTTTCTATCATGTGTGTCAACAACAAAAATTTTCTATTGTGAAAGTTACTTATTTATAATTTTATATATAAGCTATAAATGTATCTCTTAAAATCTTTCATAGGTTCTGTGATATATTTATTATATAAGAAGTACAATGGAAAGTGTACTAGTGTAGTAGAAAGCAAGTTTAACACTGACAATTGTGGATATTTAGACGACAGTTTACGAAGTAGTATATACTTAAACAACCATATCGAACTTCCTAAGGTAAGTTAATAAAGAAATATAATTTTTGGAATCTGTTAAGAGTGTACTAAATTGTTTTCTGTGAGCTAATTTAAAACTTGACTGAAACAATGGATGGGGTTAGAAAAATCAGGGTCGTTTTTATATTTATGGTTGCACAATTTTAGAGATTTAATCTGAGTTTATCTTGTTACTAAGTTTCGCTTATTAATATCAATATTTTGCAATTTTTGTGAAAAGTTTAAGATATTTCTAGTCTTATTTGAAATATTTTGCAAATATTGTTATAAAAGTTTAAATGGTATTTCATTAGCTTTATACACCAGCCCTAATCTTTCTTTTAATAAGTTTGAAATAATTTATAATCAAACTTAAATAAAAAAAAAAAATTGATTCGAATTCTTATTTTTTCTTGCGTTTTTTAAAAATTTTTTGCTAAACTGCTTCTCCTTTAAGTGAACTGAAAAGGAAAAAATAGTATATTTTTGTTGCATGAAAAAAAATTTTTTTTTGAAAGGTATGCTACTTTTGAAAGACCAAGAAGGATTTTGGGTAGTGATAGAAGTATATTACAAAAGTAATGCATTATATGATTTTCATTATAGCTGTAGCAGAAAAAATATTTTCTCCATTTTAGGCCACTTAATAAATGTAGTTTTTTTAAAAAAGTTTTTTGTTGCAGAAAGTTATTGATATCTTATTTGGCGATAAATTTTGCTTGTATTATTGTAACTCGTATTTTCACTAGGCTCGAAACGATTGAAACTTGCATCATAACAAAGCTCTTATAGATATGTGAGTGCTCAAGCTGGTAACTTTTGAGTTTAAAATTCCACTATAGCTCTCAAAAGCAAGTCAATATGTATGTTCTATAAGCTTAAGAAAAAAAAAAGAACTTAGAACTTTTTTTTTAGCTTTGCTTCGTATATTTTATCGAATTTTGTAAAAATCTTGTTCAAATTTATATGCAAATCACAAACATAAATCTCAAAATATTTTGAAGTAAACACAACTGTCACCATTTTGGTTTGACTGTATATCTATATGTTCAATGTGCTTCTGCTGTTACTGATGTTATATGCTCTAAATATTCAATTTGGACATCATTTTTTCACAAATAAGAAAATAGTATTTTGTGAAGATACTTCATAAAAACATTAGACACTTCATTTCTATTAAAATAGATATGTTTTGATGGTTATATTTTGACATGCATCAAAACACTAGTTCTCATTTTTTAAACATATTTAACATTTCAAAATAAAACTGATCTAACACTGTGATTTCTTGAGAATATTATCAAGATATCATCCAAGGGAAATTTTTTTATTTTTTAAAAAATGTTGTTACATTTGCTTAGTTTACAGCATGAATATCCAAAATTTGTCCTTCTGGATGAATAAAAATCAAATTTTTTATATATTTATAGAAAACTTTTGCAATAAACTATATTAATTCCTGTCACAATTATAAATGTACTCTTAAAAGTTTCATAATGTATTATTGAATTTGCAATCAAAGCTTAAAATTTAAATTTGTGCTATAGGCCCACCTTTTAAAATCTACCCATAGGTATCAGCATTATTTTTATTGCATGGCTCCTATTATTACATAATAAATATATTTATTTTTTGAAAATGTTTTATTTTATGTTATATAAGTTTCTAATTTTTTATGTATTTTTATAGGAAAGTTCAGAAGAAATGAGCTCATTAGACAATGATTCTTTTTTAAACAGCTTAGAAACTATGACAATACAGAATTATTGGGCTGATAACTCAAAAAATACTAAAGTGTGAAAATCTCTACTTAACAATTTTTATGTGGCCCTTAAATTATTGAGCCTGTATTTATAAATTTTAAGTTTAAGCATGCTTTCTCTGGGTCTTACATAGATCCAGTTTCTTGTTAATAAATTATCTTAAAAGAGTTTCGTAGCAGTTTTTTGTATTAAATGATATTACAAGTTTAATGATAATACAAATTAAAACATTTTAATAGTATGCCATTGAACTGATTTTGCTAATTATGTATGCATATCCAAAGACTATTTTAAAACTTCTCATTTCTGAACAGAAATGCAAACCTTTGCTGACTGGTCTTTCAGTTAACTTCAGGTTTATTATTTTAAGGTTTCCACTTGCTCTCTTAGAAAATTCTGAAAAATTTGAAAAGTTGCCTATTAATATGACCAGTTCCAAGATATGGAATTGTAAAGAAATTCAGCAAAATTAATCGAGCTTATCATTAATTAATACAGTTATTATAGAAAGCTTTTAGGGTTGCCACTGGCGACTATTTTTGACATTCTTTTTTAATTTGGGTGATTTTTCAAGAGAGCAAGAGAAAGTCATCCAAAAGAAACTATTTTTAAAAAATAGCGACTGTTTGAAGATTGTTGTTTCTAATTCCACTTGCTAATATACCAAAACCTGCTTTGTGAAACCAAGGGTATTTAAGGCAGAGGGTGTGTCTCTTGTTTTTTCGTGGCGCCATCTGTAGTCAAGAATACGATTTCGGTAACATGCGCACTTCACAGCCCGTTTAAAAGGGAAGACCCATTCATTCATCCGCAGATCATAATTTTGACCTGAACCAGAGAATGATCAATCTTCAATTAAGTACTCCCAGAGATATTGATTTGTTATGGGAACTTGGAGGTCTTTTTGACCTACCCAATTCAACATGCAATAATCAACATATACTACACAGGGAGGCTTCACAGTAGGGATCAAACTCACGACCTTTTGGGCATGAGCCCAATGCTCCTACCAACCTGGTTATCATGGCCATTTAGAATTAGATTAGTAAGCTGAAAATAATAAAAAGCTTTGAATTAGCATTTATGTTTGAAAACTTACCAGTTTTAATTTTGAAAATAAATACCTTATAACATTGGAAGAAAAATCTGTTTTAAAATGTTTCTTGATTTTTTTTCTTGTGATTTTCAGATCAAATTGTATTAAAAAAAAACTTTGAAGTTGTATCCCACTGTATCAAATTTTTTAAAATTTTATATTATTTTCATGTATATTAATCTTGAATTTGAAAATTCTTTGGTTTATTTTATAAAATATAATTAACATATAATTAACATATAATTTTATGATTATACAAAAATAAAATCTTTGTTAACAATATCTATTGAAAAATACCTTTGGCACACAACCTAAGAAATGTTTTGAGTATTCATATTTAACAACATTTGGTTATGAAAGCTAATATGTTGTTTGTAAATGTGAATATGATGTGTGATTTGTTGTATAATAAGATAATATGTAGTTTAATAACAATATTTTGAAAGTTCTCTATATATTTTCTATACTTTATGCAAAAAATTTATTTTCACTTATTTAAAAATGATTTATTAAATGACGTAGTTAATTTTAATACTTATACTTCAGCCTTTTGCTACTTCATTGATAAAAAAGAATTATTATTTCACTGTGAAAAATATTTAGGCTTCTATTGAGTACGTAAGAGCAATTATTTTAAATTTAAGGACACATTAGCAATTATTTTCGAGGTTAATTGAAGTGGAAACCCTAAGTTTCCTAACTCAATTTAGGGATGTACACCTTTTTCCAAGGTAATCACACCATCAAGTTACGGTGTAAAAGGTCATGAGTTCAAACCCAGCTGATGACAAAGAACAATTTTATCTGCATTAGGAAACGAACATGCAACTCCCTCATTCCTCAATCGATGTAAGAAATACTCTTTTTGCCTTGATTCGACGAATTGATTTAGCCTCAAATAATGTAAAGGACAAAACTTGATGTACCTTTTACATGCATAATATTAAGTTAAAGTAGCTGCATGTTTAATGAAAAAAAGTTACAAGTAGAGCAACATGCTGCAACCATTCATTTTAATCACACATTTAATTTATAGTTTCCAGATTCAAAATTAATTTAATTAACTTGAATTTTAAAAATTTATTTTTAATTTTTTTTATATTTCATTCATGGTAGTTGTAAAAAACATGAGAAAATGCTGTTTTGTTTTAAATAAATAAAGACCAAGACTAATCTACCTATGTATTATGTTATTGCATTCTACACTTAGCTGGTGTCATGTGATGTATTTTTTTAGTTAGTTTTTCTTTTAATAATTATTCGAAAGGCACATGGATGAAAAAAGTATCTCATTTCTTTGTGGAGAATATTTAGGCCATTATTTTTTATATTTAAGGCTACTATTGCAACTATTTTTAAGGATATTTGTAGCGGAAATTCCGAAGCAGCCTAACTAAATTTAAGGATGTACCGTGGGCACTAATTAATCTTTGATCTAAATATCGAATCTTAACCTTCTAGTACTCTATTTAAATGGTTCAAAGGGGAGACCTCAAATATGCTAATAAATTAGTGTGAGCCACGATGGCTCAGGGGATAGTGCGTTCGCCTTCTAATGAGGTGAACCGGGTTTGATTCCTAGTGGTGGCTGGTCAATAAGAATTCCGCATCCGGTTTGCACAGACGAGAAATATCCTTAGTGGTAGACGGATCAAGGGTTAGAGTTTCCTTGCTGTCAGGATAACTGTGGGATATTTTTGTGGTTTTCCTCTCCATGTAACGCAATAGCAGGTTAGTTCTATCAAAAAGTCCTCCACGAAGGTAAACTTTCTCCGAATACTGATCAAGAAGTTACCTCGTCTTCTGGATTGGGTTTAAAATTACAAGGGTGCGTAGTTGAACATTAGTAGTCGTAAACCAGAACACTTGGGGTTTGCTGTTCAACGACAGTTATAAAATTAATTCATGTAGACGATATTTTAAGTTTAGAAATCAGACAAAAAAGTACTTTCTCTGAATAAACATATCTTTTTTTTAAACAGATTCTGATTTCTGACCTCCAAAATATGGTCCCCATAATTTAGTCAGGAGTAGTGGTCCAAAATTTGGGCCCCTTAAATGCTAATTTCATCTTTTGCATGTTTCACTATATCTCAAAAACTTTTTTAAGTGAATTAAAAAAATTTTGCGTACAATTATACTATTCAATTATCCAAAAATAATTCCAAGCAAAATATAACTTTAAGTAAATATTTATTATTTTCTTTAATAATGGTTGAAAAAAATTTGTATAGCAAGATATATAATTTTTTGCATTATTTTAATGGGTGTAATTTTACATGGCAAAATAAAATTGAAATCACCCCCTCGAACCTTTACGATTAAATCCTAGAATATGAAGATACGATCATTAGATCAAAAGTTATTCAGGGTGGTCCATTTTTTATTTTGCACACTGTACACCCTTTTCCATGATAGTCACAGCTACAGGTTATTGTGAAAAAGGTGCTGGGTTTAAACCCAGCTGGTAACAAACAACAATTCTATCTGCATTAGAGAGAATGAACTTGCACCTCTCATTCCTCAACAGATGTCAGACTTTGACATCTGTTGACTCACTACTTTGCCTTGATTTGACAAATTGATTGAGCCTCAATAACGCCAAGGCCGAAACTAGAGATATCTTTTACGAGCACAAAATGAATTCAATTAGCTATACATTTAATAAAAAAATTACTAGTAGACCAATATTTTTAATGTCCACGAGAGCTTTGCGGGCATATTTTTATGTTCCGTGACTGGAACACTTTTTGCAGGTGAATTTTTGAGAGTGCTTTTATTTCTTCTTAAAAATAATCTTTAAACCACTGTTTTGATTACAAACTAAAGTACTATAATGTGTTACCGTATTTGCTTTTTTTTAGCTTGCTTTAAAAAAAAATGGAAATAACAAAATTTTGATATATTTTAGTTTAATATTGAGGCAAGGCAAAGACTTAAGTGGGCACCCTTTTATAATTTATTAGTAATAAAATTTAAGATAATCAGGGCACAAAATTAATTGCAGTCTATTGGTAAGACATTACTAAAATTTCACTGGAACCACCATAAAATAATTAGCAGTGATCTTCAACCAACAATCTTTGTAAAGGAATGGTATACTGTTCATATTTTGGTCTGCGTTTTTGTCATCAAAATTGTGACCTAACATGTTCTTTGTTATGTAATTTTTTATTTCAATTTATTAACGCTTTTTTTAAAAAAAAAATCTAATCGAGATACATAAACAGACCAGTGAAACTGTGTACAGGCTAATATCTTTCAGTTACTTGCTTTCAGAACCTATGATTAAATTTTTTAAATTTCTGTCTCTGAAGGAAATTTATGTTAGATGTTTTTAATTTTTTCTAGTATGAAAATTTGGAATTATCATTACAATTAAAATTATATAAATTTTTTTTTTCACTTAATAAACAGTATCCCTTTCAAAACACTTATCAAAATAAGTTTTTTACTTTTCAAATTACATATATTTAATAAAATATATTAAAAATTACATGTATTAATCCCATTTAGTGTGAGACTTATTGAATTTTAGCAGCAAAGTCATTATATTGTATATAACAAAGGTATTACACAGCAAATTTTTCACAATTTGCAACATAATTCGGGTTCATTAATAACAACACGCATACTTCATTATGCTAAGTCTTTCCTACAACTTTTTTAAAATGTTTTTGCATACAGTGTAAATGATGGAAAGTAATTTAATAGGTACTTCTCCTGTGCCACTGAAATACCAATGTTGCCACCAACTTGTAAACATGCCATGTGTCATACTGTCTCTGTTTCAGGGTGTTGATTGAGCTAAATGATAGAAATCATTATTTTTTATTGTAAGGTTTACCCTACAGTAATGGGACAATTTTGGGTATTTTTTTAAAAAAAATTTCATAAGACACAATAAGAGAATTGTTTTATAACTTCAAAGGTATTTAGATCATTCAATTACTCATCTTTATGAGTGAAGTTTAAAACTTCCAGACATTAAGAGGATCGGCAATAAACTACGAACAAAAAAAAAAGAGCACTTCTACGAATTTAAAGCAGTGCTATTATATTGCAAAAGGCATTTAAAAACATTTTCATAATTTTACTAATACTTGGTAACTTATAAAAAAAAGTCTTAATTTGAATATCTTTACACTTTAAGAAGTTTCTTGCAACTTTCTAAATAGCTTTTGTGCTTTTTAAGGAGAAGTCTAAATGATAATGGGTTTTCCAATAATTTTATTTCCACTAATTTAAAAAAACAATTCATGAAGAATTACCTTGTAATTATTTACTGCACAACAAGAATATAAGAAAAGAAAATGTGATATAAAAATTTCAAATAGGGGGATTGTTTTCCAACTACATTAAGCAGCCCATTTTATATATATTTATAGCATAATTTAAATTCCTTTTTGCATTCAACAAACTATTAACTAACAGGAAGAAAATTCTTAAATATTAAATATGTTTTTTAAACTAATTAGATAAGATATATTTTTTTTCACACACAATGTTTGAAATATAGAGGGGCCCTTTTACCTATAAGTATTGAGTCTCATCAAGCTTAAAACCAACCCTGGTTATCAGAGTTATATTTTGGGAAGCTGTGCTTAAACATAAGCTACTAAATTTAACATAAATTTTTGACAAAACTCTCTTGATACCCAATAAATTTTAAATGAAACAACCAAATGTCGTTAATTATTTGTTACAAGATGACATTTCCATCATTTTTTTTAAAACTTACTTTATTACAAATTTTGAAGTTCATTTATATGGCACAGACGTAACAATTCTATATCTTTCCTAATTTATTTTATATTATAAATCATATCACAGATGAATTTAATATTTTATATATTTATATAAACTTTTTTTTTTAAAATTCCTAACAAAACAGTAAAGAATAGTTTACAATAAATAAAAATATATGTTGAATACATACATAAATTTTAATGTATTTTTCACTAATATGTACAAATCGTTTCTTTTTCTTTCTTTATTTTTTATTTCACCGGCGAAAGCATTTCTTCATACTCTTCAATGTTTTAGCCATTAAAGGAGCTATTTTAGGTTCTGAAAAGAAAAATATTAAATTGTTGAAAATTGCACTTATTTTAATCAAATATCTTAATATAATTTTTTTGAAGATTAAAATCATAATTTAAAAACCTAATATCAATGTTATTAGTGGAATATTTATAGTAAATTATTAACTTGGAAGGAGATAGATTTTTTTTCTTCTCATTGCTTTAATTTTATACAATACAACATACAAATAAACAGTGCAAAACAAACATAGAATCCGTGCTAGGTTTAATATTTCATAACATCACTCAACTCAATTAGCCCATAAACTATTATGCTCAAATTTTAATATTACTAATAAAAATTGGATGTAACAGACCAAATCTAAAACCTATTATTTTTAGGTTTTTCTTTTTAAATAACTAAAAAAAGTTAATTGTAAGTAAAAAAAAAAGCTTTAAGAAAGCTAAATAAATATATATATATATATATATTGCTTTTACAGAGGTAATTGATACTTTCTAAATTAAAATTATAAAAGCCTAATATATGTTTTAGCAATTACACACGAACTTGAGAAGGAATCGCAATTGCTAAGTGATTTGATGTCATATGATAAAAAGCAATTGGTTTTACAAAATAAATTTACAAATTGTTACAATTAATTTCTTAATAGATATTTATTAAAAATTAATAGCTGCAATAAATGCATCTGCTTTTTTTTCTATATGCACATAAAAACTAAGAAAGAGGTTTGCTTAATTAGTTTGCCTTGCTTCTTAATTGAACTTTAAAACAAATTTTGATACCATGACAAAGTACTTAAATTATGAGTGAGTCATTGTAGTTAAGTCTTTTCCTTAATTTATTCGCACCATAATTTGAATCAGTAGAAGGAATGACATCTTATTCTATAAATAGGTTGAGAATAGATGTTTATTAAGAATCAAAATCTTATAAACTTAGTTATAATATAGAATATAAACAAATTGTCTTTGTTTCAAACATCTTATAAAATTTGTAGACTGATTTTTTGGAATGTAATCACCAGGAAAAAAATGGATGTACTGTTATAATAAAAAATAAACAATGGGCCATTATAGGTTATAAAAAATTAAGTTTTCATAAATGAGTAAAAACATTAACTTAGCCTTTAAAAATTCTACACACTCAAATAGGACTTTAAGTCCCAAAATATCTTGAAGTTTAAAGAATTTTTCTCACAATTATTTTCTTATACTAACTTATATAGGCAAAAGAGTTGTTTCTATTGCTGACAAGCAACTGGATTCAAAACTTAATTTAAAAAACAAAATGACTGGATTAAAATTAATGACTGGATGTGTATATTTAAAACATAAAACCTCAAATATTCTTTTCAGTTGTAATGAAAAAAAAAGAAAAAAGAGAAAGAATGCCAAATAAATTTCTTTTTGTTTAAAATAATTGTTCTCTCTAGAGTAAATATTGGTTATCATTGATTAGACAGTAGTAACTATGTTCATGATTTTATCTGCTCTTTAGACTGCGGATCAAATATTTTTCAGAGGTGAGATCAAATAAATTTTAATAATCATTTTACTATTTTTGAAGAATAGCTTGTCATTAGCTTTCTTGTATATTAGACTTTAAATAAAAGTGGGAAAGCTAGTTGGAAAATTTAAAACAATTATGTAGAAGTTTTTTTTTACTTAAAAAGGGTTTTCTTGCAATGCACTAATATATATTTTATAAAAAACTTTTTAATCAAAACTATATTAACTAGTATTTCTAAGGCAACTTTTTATATGTCTTGAGGATATATCAGTTAACTACTTTTTAGAATACCAATACCTAAACAAATCTATACTTGGTCTCATTCACCAAAACTTTGGAGGCTAGTGTTATGCTTACTCATTGGTTTGGCTTCAGCTCGTGGACGACTAGTTGATGCAGCTGAATTTGCTGAGTTAATAGATGGAGCTGTTGGTCTAGGGCAATCTTTTGTAGCAGGGCCAGCCTTGACAGTATGATTTGTTGGTAAAGCAGTTCCATGCTTTGCTTGCCTACGTGCAACGTCGCGAGGAGGTTTAACTACAGAATCAACATATGCCAGTTTAGCCTTTCGAGCTAAAACAAAGAATAATAGAAAATTAATAAAAAATAATCTGATTAAATATATTAATTTCTAATTCTAAATTTTTATATTTTATTAAATGTTTCAAAAATTTTTGTTTATAGCTTCATACATATTGGAGTAAGTCTTAAGTATTTTCTAGTAGTTGTGGTAACACATAATTAAGTTTGAAAATAATTTTTTAACTATATAGACCTATATGTGTTATTTAAATAAGGTCAGTGCATATTTTATTGATTAAAAATTAAATCAAATAACTAAAGTTTTAAATTAAAAAATAAGTTTTGAAACAATTTAGTCTATTTAAAGAAGATGTAATTATGTAATTTTTGTGTGTGTTCTTACACAATAGAATTTGCATTTGAAAATTAATATCAAATCAAAGGTATTTTTCAGAAAGTTAATCTTGTCTTCCCATTTCAAAATTAAAATAAGGTTTTCAATTCAACATAATTTAAAATGAAATATTTAATAGATATAGAATTAAATTGAAAGAAATGCACTGTGGCCGTCTTTTCAGCATTCTTTCAAAGGGAAAGAACTTTGAACTCAGTCAAATCTTTGGAAACCATTTCAAGAAATACACCAAAAATTTTTTTTACACAATAAAAATTTTATAAGATATGTGTTGTTGACACACTAACAGAATGAAAGACATACAATATAATAGATAATTAAATGCACATAACTGCAAAGATTCAAAAAGTTTTTAAGTAATTACGAATTATTTTAAAATAGCAGAAAATCAGTTAATGCAGATTGGAAATATTTAATTTTTAAAACTCAACACACATTTTAAGCCACTGACTTCAGATATTAGATTTTCAGATTAGCTTTACTAACTTTTATCTTAGATTTTTTTCTATAAATTTAACTTTAAAAAGCATAACTTTATTCAAAGTAGTTTGTATTTATTACATTATTTTGATAATATAACATGCATTTTTTAATTGATAATATAATATGCATAATTACATTACCTACTTTAATCAGAGCTTAATATGATGTTATTCTAATCAAGATATTTTATCTTTCTTATTATTTGTGCAAATCACAAACCCTTTTTATTTTATCGTGTACTGAAATATTGAAGGTACACAAAAAAAGGCAAAGATTGTAAAAAGTAAACAGATAAAGAACATATCTTTTCAACAGAAACATACTTAAAGATTCTTGGAAATCTCTGTTTTTACCTAATTTTAGTAATATATGAACAAAAACTATATTTGTTCTGAACTATCACACTTAATAAGTTTACAAAACTCTTCCAGCTTGTGGGAAGAAGTTAGTTATTTGTTAGCTAGTAACAGAAAAGGCTATCTGTATAATGTCATTTAGCAGATGAACTAACTACAACTGTCAACGGCTATCATATTGATATTTTTAATGTTTTCTTTTATGTTGAAAGTCATTGTGAAGTTATTAATAAAAGCAACATTCATGCAATATAATTTTGAAAAGATACTGAAATACAGCAAATAGCATAGAATTATTAAGTTCGATTTTTTAGAAATTTTTATTAGATTTTTTCGATTCTTTAGAAATTAAAATTTTTCAGAAGTTATCCATAAAAACTAAAAAAAATTTTTATTGGAGCAATAGCACCGAAAATTTGAGAACATAATTTTTGAATAACTTAAAATAAAAATACTGACTGTCGTATATATATATATGTATATCAGGGGTCTGTGAAAGGTCCGTTTTTGTAAAATTATGAAAAAATTACTCATAATTCGTGAATATAAAATAAACGTTAAGTCACATTCTTTCAACAAGGGTCCGGCTTTTGTGAATTTGTGCAAATAGGGTCCTGTTATTGCAAAAAACTTTTTCAAGGAGTTTTTAAATTGTAAAGACATACAAGATTATGCTCAACACTGTAAAATTATAATTTAAAAAAGTTAAATTTTAAAAAATAAACAGCATGCTACTATATTTGAGATGCAACATAAAAATATTTGGTATTTAGCATTATACTGCTGAACGCCGAATATTTATTTCAGATGAATAAAGGAAGGGTCTGCTGAAGACAAAATCTTCCTTCGCCCCTCCCCCCGCCCTTCCGGGGAAGGGTTTATTCGATAAACAAAACAATGATGAAGATAAACAAATTTGTGAAGGGTCTGATTAAAATATAAATCATTTTGTGAAGGGTCTGTTTTCAAGTTAAAATATTTTGTGATGGGTCCATTTTTATGAAAAGATATTTCGTGAAGGGTCCGTTAATGGACCCAAATTTCTTCTAAACAGACCCCTGTATACATATTTTATAACTCAGAATAATAATTAGAAATATTTGTAGTTACATTTTACAGCATTCTTTGCTCAAAACAATTTCTTAAGAACACTGAGCAAAATAGAAATACTGTTCAATTTTCAACTTATCTACTCTTAGCAATTAAAGTCAAAATTTTTATTTATATTGAAAATAATAATGGTTCTGAAACATTATAATTTATATTGGAAATTATAATGGTTCTGAAACATTATACTAAAAATATTACTTGCAAGCAACCAATTTCTTACTTGGATTAGAATTAGCAATCAAGGCAGAAATATTTGCAGTTACACTTCTCAATCGCTGTTCACGTTCATCATGCGAGCGCTATTTGAAGAAAGAAGCATAAGTAAAAGGGATTTTGAATTCCAGAAGTTTGATATCACAAAAAGATAAACAAATACACATAGTTTAAGGAGAGAAATAAAACTATATCACTGCAATAAAACTAAATCGCTGCTTTAAATTAATAATATTTAAAATAGTCCTAAATTTCATAATGCATAGTTAATTACAATTTGATTACTATAGAAGAACCATTGTTATAAATACAAGAAACAAAATAGTACAATTACAAACAGAAACTAAAAGAAGTGGGGAAAAAAACACATTTTGGAACATAATTAAATGTAGAAAAGCGACAAAAAGGGCAACTGGGAAAACTTGGTAGCAGTCTGGCTTAAGGAACTTATACTGCTTATGTCTATTACATGAGAATTTTGTACTGGATACAATCTTTATAGGTTATCAAGAATTTCCTTATCAAAATATTAAATTGTTTGTTGCTCTTTTTTAACTATTCGACTAATTTATTTTAGACTTTAATAATAAAATTTAATCAGATAACCAGAATAAAAATTATGTCAAAATTACGTATATTTTGAAATTTTTTTCTTTTATAATTAACATGTCTTGAACATTCCAAAGAAATCCATTCCTGATGTGTAATTTTTATGTAATCAATGCATGCAAGTGAAGGGAAATATAAAAATTGCAAAAAGTAAATTTTTCATTTTTGTCTCAGCTAATTGCTAATTCATATTTTTATTATTTAAAATTGTAGCATCTAAAAAAACAATTTTGCAAAACATAAGACAAAAAATGAAATTAACATGTGTCTTGATTTATTAAGAAAACCAGTAATAGAGCAGATTTAATATCAATATAAAATAAAAACTTTAACATATACCCAATATAATTCTCGCCAAGTTTCATTTTCTTGAGGTTTTGCTGTGCGATAGTCCCTTTTACAATGAACTTCCCATAGTTCATTAGTATCTTCTAATAAGTACTAGAATAAAAATTCAAGATTAACATTAAACATGCTTATTGTAAATTATAACTATTGAAAATCAAGTTCCACCTATATGAAATATGCCCTTTCTTTACTTCAAATTAAATAGATATATAGTAAATTAATTCACAAATAACATTTTGCAGCAATCGCAATAACAGCATATATTAATTCATACAAATTGTAAATTTTTTTATGTCAATTCCTAACTGTATCACTTTTGTGGAGGTATAATGCTAGTTTTACATTACAATGGATACTCATTAATCCATGATTTAATATCTAGTTTTTGTCAATACTATTAAGAATAGACCAAAAATAACGTAAAAATAAATTAAACTTAATGAAGTCCATTTAAGCTTAAAATTTTTTCATGTCCAATTTTTAATTGACAAAAACTATTAAAAAAGTTTGATTTAATTTTTCGATATCATCAAAAAGCATGTTTACAACAATGCAAAGAAAGAATTGTTATCTATATATATATTTTTTAATTTCTGTTTCTATGCACATATCCAAATTTAAGTGAAGTAAAAAACATTTTCAAAAGGTCTAGAAATGAAATTAGAGCACAACAACGCCTTTAAACAATAAATCTTAAAATGGAATTACTGAAGATTTTCTAAATTTTTTGAAGCACTACTTGTATTTTATCTAAAATAAGTAGAGCTCTTTTGTTTGTGAATTCAATATATAGAAATAGCATATTCAACTGAAGTTTTTCAATTTCTGCTCAATATGTGTTTGAATGTGCAACACTATAATTAAGTTAAATTTTTGTAAAGATTAATTAAAATCTGAAAAAATTCTTCAAATATGACAACTTAAATGTGATAGCACGAACAAAACTTTTGGTCTATTGGTAGTTCAATTTACCATTAGTCTCAAATTATAATTTAAAAACAATAACAATTGTTAATCATTTCAATTAATATATATATTAGGTAATTATAGATCTTCTAAATTCTCATAATTTTTTAGAAAAGTAATGTAAACAATAGAGAGATAATTAGATATTTTTTAAATGTGAAACACAGATATCTCAAGTGAATAATTCTTACAGGATTAAAATCTTCAATTCTGTATAACTGTGATGGAGTGCATCTTTGAAGCATTGATTCTAAGAGGAAATAAGGGATCTCACCCATATATTCAATGTCTAAAAATTAAAAAAAATAAATAAATGAAGCATTTATTATAACAACATCAATATAATTATCACAACTTGTGAAAAAAGCAGGTTATTACAAAAGGCTTTATTTCTGTTTATATTCTCTTTAAAAACATAGGAAAAAATGGCCTATTTAATTAAGTATGTTGAGACTTCATAAGATAATTTATTTTTCAACATAAATTTGTATAGAGAGAGTACTGGTTAGAATGTAACAAAGAATAAAATCCTTTTAAACAAAGGGTAGATATTTGGTACTGCTCAACAAACACATCCAAATATTAGTAAAAACAAAAATGTTATCGATGTATCTTAATTTTATTCAGAAGAAAGTATTCATTGGCTTTTTTCTTTCATTAATATATACTTAAAAAGTTATGATTAATAATAAAAATATAGGAAGTACAAAGAGAAAGATAGTAAACATTTTGAAAAAAATGAGTACTATCCTACATCAATTCAATGTTATAGGAGCGGTGGTAAGTTACTAGAAAAAATAGGTTTATTATAGTGGGTTTCTGAAGTTTCTACTAATTTCAACTGTTTACTGCTTTCCGAGATATTTTCTGCCAGTTCCTTCTAATTTGATTTTTATGATCATTGCCATTCCATAGTCTTTAAATTGCAATCTTTAACTGCTAAATAAAAGAGAAATTTGATCTAATTGTTCCTAAAAACAGTCCACACGTAAAATTACTTTTCAAATAATTAATTTACTAGCATTAGATTTACACATTAACTAAAGGATATTGCAGTTGTAACTAAGTAAATTGATGTGCCAACATACTTTCATGCTGAATAGTATTCAGTTTCTAAAATAGGATTGAGAAACTTACCATCAATATTTTCTATAAGAACCCTTGTGCAGCATTCAAACAAAGTTGGTACCGCTGCATGAAAAAAATGATAATATAATGATTAGATAATAATGATGGCATAAATAAATGATTTTTAACATCTCATATTTAAAGCAAGTAAATACTGAAATATACTTTAATTACATAGTTCAAAAGAGAAATTTCAATGTACAAAAAAATTTGAATAAATAAAATATCAATATGAGAAACTCTAATGAGTTTCAGCAAGAATCAGGTAAGCAATTTTTTCCTTTTTAAAATTGAATTCTGGTAGAAATTAATATTAATTCAACAGGCATTTTAATATAACAGATTTATATATCTAAGATTATAAGAAGCTCTGAAATTAAAAAAAATGGAAATTTGCTAATTATTAACTCTATTGTTATTAAACACGTTGCAAGTCTCATTTCAACCAGCAGTCTTACCCACACAGGAAAACTATTAGATTGAGAAATGGTGGATAGTGGAGAAATATTCTCCCAGATTTGACCATTTTAAAAACTGTCAGAAGGTTGAAGAAAGGCAAAGAGGATTTAATTAAAAATTATTTTGAATTATCATTATGAAAATTCTAGAATATCCACAAAAAATCTAATAAAGTTTAAAATAAGCAATGATAAAATATTTATGTTGGAAAATTATACGTGTACAGGGAGAAATAAAGGAATTACACTTATAACTTCTCAGCTAATGATCATATTTTCACATTACTAAGCAGTAATTTTGATGGTTCAAGAGATTCACCTTTAACAAGCAAATTAAGTTGCACAAAATCAGATTCCCTCAAATGAAAATAACTTCCTCCCAATAAATAAGTTAGAAGAGTAGCTAAAAGTTTGAACTGCTACAGGTATATTTTTATTATTATTTATTTATTGCATTTTTTCCTACATTTTTAAAACAAATAAAAAATTTGAATAAATAAATGGTTCAAGAGATTCACCTTTAACAAGCAAATTAAGTTGCACAAAATCAGATTCCCTCAAATGAAAATAACTTCCTCCCAATAAATAAGTTAGAAGAGTAGCTAAAAGTTTGAACTGCTACAGGTATATTTTTATTATTATTTATCTATTGCATTTTTTCCTACATTTTTAAAACAAATATCCTAATTTGTAAACTGTTTGCTCACAATTTTAAATATGAGAAAAATTTTTAAAATTAAGTTCATGAAATCAAAAATTTTAAATTAAAAATATACAACTATTTTGAACTCGCTTCTTTGATGACATCTTTGTTAGACATAAATCTTTGTGATTAAAATTTTGCTAATAACTTAAATGACATCTTATTCAATCATTTAAGTTATAAATAAAAATTTTAACAAACATAAAATTTAAATCATGTCATACTATATAATTTTAACGATCAAAACTCAAAATGCAACTAAACCTGATTAAATGGTTTCTAGAAAGAAAAATTCAAAAGTTGTATTATAGATTTTAATGTCTCCAGAACTATTCATCCAATTTTTCTGAATTTCGACATTTAGCACATCTTAAAATTCTGCAAAAATTTTTCATCTTCCAATATCAGTTTCTTTTTATAATACTAACAATTTAAATAATTATATATTTTTAAAATAAAAATTTACATAGAACTCTTTTTGGAGAAAAGTTAACAAATGTATAAAAAATAATTTAGAGTAAAATTAACATTAAAGGGTCAGAATCTTTGGCTTTCCAAATGAACTATTATGACCATATATGTAATTACATTTTGATTTTTGAAGATTCAAAATTTGAGTCCATAAAAAAATAGTATATTCATTCAGAAGAATTACATTCTTTTCTTTCGCTGATTCTGTAATTTAAATTATTGTCTGAACTAATTAATTTGCTTATAAAGATAGACTCTTGTTCCTGTTTGAGAAACATTTCTCTGTTAAATAATAAAGAAAAGGAAGTTTGTTTTGTGGGAAAAAACGAGACCCTAACTTTAAACTGAGTTCTGGGCAATGAATTATAACAGGGTTCCCACTACTTATAAAAAATAAATGAATGGTAGCTAAGATTTTTGAGAACTACTGAAAAATGCCTAAATTTATCTTTCATTAATGAATTACGAAATTATTCTAGAATTATTTTTTGCACCCATATGTATTTCCGTTAGATTAAATATTATTTTTTGATAGCTTAAAACATCTAGATATATGTCACTTTTGTTATAACTTTAAAAACTTTTCAGACAGTGGGAACCCTGTATAAGGTCAGTGAATTAAATTGATAACCATCATTACAATACATAAAAATAAATTTATTAAAATATAAAATCAACTCAATTGAAAGTTTTAGATACTTTACCTGTTAAATAGTTACTCTTATTTTTTCTTCCAGAATATACTGCAGTTTTTTCCTTGCGGGAAGACGTAAATTTTATGGCATCTTCATTAGACATGTTTTCTATGAAATAGAATTAAGAAATATTAGAAAAAAAGGATTCTTATTTAAAGTTCAAGAAATTCAGCACATTCTATACCTTTCACTTTAAAAGAAGAAAAAAACAGAAAAAGATATGAGGCTTAAGAATTATTTATTTTTATACTTTGAATACTGTTTTTCATTAAAAAAAATTTACATTTCAGAGAAAGCACAAATTTTTATCAAATAGTTAAATGCATATTATTTTATTTGCTTATTCTATTTTTGTTTTTAGATAAGTATGAAGTTTGTATTATATCTTAAATTCAAAATTACTGTTTTAACAATAAGTATGAGTTGCTGGAGGTCTAGTTATACTTAATAAAGTAAACAGATCTTAAGATTTTCCTCTTTTGAATTTCAGAATTTAAAAGATGAATTTTAAAATTTTTCTCGAATATTTTTGTTATTTTGGACAATAAATAAATACTTCTAGGCCTATTGCATGCCTGTGACAAAATTTGAGTTAAGAGAATTTAGAAGAAATACTGAATTAGCATAAATATGTGAATCTGTCAACACATTTTTAAATATGAGTTTTCATCTCTGTATAACAATTTTTTTTACACCAAGCAAAAACTATAAAAAATTAGAAAAGTTCTAATTTTGAAATTATGATTTGTATATCAAGCTTAAGGTTGAGATTTCATTTTTAAAAAGAAATAAAACATTTTCCAAAAGTAACAAGAATTTAATGTTACCTCGTTTCTTTATGGGACTGAAATCATAGTTTCGTTGTGGAAGAGGCCTATAATTTGGTTGTGTCTGTGGTAATGTAGATGCTATATCAACACATTTTTCTGGTGATGTCTGCAAAGAAATATTTAGTTCATATATGTGTGGCACCATAAGTAAATTGTTACCAATTTATGAAATATTTTATTTTCAAAAAGGTTTTTAAAAAAATTTACAATATCATAACTTAAAGAGTCACTCATTTCATACCTGATAGAGAATAAAACTCTGTTCATCAAGGGAAGCCTCCTCGATAATTGAGAAACAAATGAAATACAGAGTTTCAGACACAACTCAAGTAGTTTCCACAGTTTAGTAAAATATATTCTGTCATTGCAATGTTTAATATAGCTACTATTACTGTTAATCGAATTAACAGAGCAAACATGTTGAGTTGGATAGAGTGGAAGTCAAAACCTGCATTATTTTTCTGGTATTACTTAATTCTATCATTACTGACTATTACTTCATTCTGTCAAAATATTAAAATCAATAAAAAGTGTGCAAGTTTTAGAAACTATTTTTTGCTTGACAGCTTGAATATTTTAAGTAAAAACTTAAATCTTTTGTTAATAGTGTAAAATTACAAGTATCCTTGAATTAAGTGTATTAAAATTGCTTTCCTCTCATATGAGAACTTAAACCACATATTAAAAAAATCTTATTTTTCAAATTTTTGAAAATAATCTCTCAGTCAAAAAATATGCAGATTAGAAACAAAAAGTAATCTGCGTTATATTTGTTTTTATTACAAAAATTAATGCACTGTAAATTGTTTTTGATTAAAAATTATTACAAAAAGAAAAAACAATCCCGCAATTTTTATGATGATGTATTTCTAGCTTGAACCTTTTCTAACCAATTGTTTTAAATTTAAATGTTTGATGAGGCTTAAAATTAGAATAAATTTTTATTTGTCTTAGAAAAAGAAAACCATAGATACTTACATATTTTACTGCTGTTTCTTCGGGTACTTTCAAATCATTCTTTTCTTTTTCACTGGGAATGGGTGAAGAGTAACTGTCCTTTGAATTTTTCACTTTACTACTATGTTCAATATCCTTAGAAATTTCTTTTACTTTTTTTGACAAAGAACTAGAAACAAGTTTTGAATTTTTCTTTTTCTTTAAGGGCACAATATCATTAAAACTTAAGCAGTCTTCGAATGTGGCTTCTGAAGAAGTAAATTCCTCAGTTGATAACATTTTTAAGCTTTTTTTAACAGTTTTTTTGGTCTTAGATTTATTATTTGTTCTTTCCTCTTTAGCTCTTTCACTAGAGGAACTCTTTTTACTTGATTCACCATCTTTCACAAGTTTTTTCTTAGAAAGCTTTTCAAAATCACTAGAACTTTTCAAATCTTTATTTGAATGTGTCCTTGATTCACTACTTGGTTTATAGGAATCAGTTTCAGAGGTTCTAGACTTTTTAGGAGAAGATTCAAAGGAGGAAGAAGAATCACTGTTATGAGCATTCTCAAAATTGTTGGAAGCAGGAACTTCTTGCTCATTATTTGAAAATGCATTAGCATACTCAGAATCAGAATCATCATCTTCATCATAAAGGTTTTTCTGTAGAAAGCTAGAAGAGTGTTTTGATGAAATTTTTTCACTTTTAGAAGGAGAACTTAATTTATTTTTATTTGTATTCTTTTTACTAGAATGACTTTCCCCATTATGTTTGATGGAATGTTTAGAATGCTCAACTTTGTAATTTATTTTCATATCTTTTTCCTTAGCATGCTTTTTCTTTAATTCGTGTTCCAGTTCTTCATTTGAAGGTCTTTTTGTTGAATGTTTCTCTTTATAATGCTTCTCTTCCTTAGAAAGCATTTTTAACTTTTCCTTTGAATGCTCAGAATTGCTATGTCTGTTTTCAGAATGTAGATCTTTACTATGTTTTTCTTTTTTAAGATATTTCTCTTCATTATGCTTTTCAGATTTTTTAGTTTCTTTTTCAGACTTGTGATGTGATTTGGAACTAGAGTGATGTAGCATCGCTTTTGGGTGATCGTTTTCTTTCAAAGAAGATGGGTCACTTGATTTCTGCGAGTTGGCTACAACATCTCTCCATTTATTCAACACAGAAGAAGCTTTTGAGCCAATATTTCCAGGCTTTTTTGCCATAACTCTCATAATTTTACCTGCTCCAGTACCCTTAAAAACAAAGTTTAAAAATTATTAAATTCTCACAGAACTTAATGAGTTTGACATATAGATGTTATAAAACTTTAATAACGATATTATTAACATACTATCTACATGAAGGAAGCTATTATGTTTCATTAACATTAATCACCTAGTTAAGTTCAATCTTTTTATTTTACTTTTTATTAACTTTCACTAACTACATATGTTTATTTATCTCAATCTGTAACGAGTAGGTAGTTTATGGTGAATAAGAATTGTGTTATTTTTAATTCCAGGGATAAGTGAAGGTAAGAGGTAAGCCACAAAACATTTGATTCAAAATATTTGACCAAAAAAACTTATATTTTTATGTACTTTTTTACCACACAAGTATTTATCTCTTAATCACTTTCAAAAGCAGTAATTTAGTGCCACAAAACAAATTTCTTTATGTATAATGATAAACAAAATTTTTAAAACACTTTTTCTGCTTCAACAATCAATGCGCTTGAATATATACTTAAGATTTACCATTCAAAATCTTATTTTTATATCCTATTATTTAATAATCACTTTACTCCCTGAACATTAGAAATATGTTTTAAGATAATTAGGCAAAGATAATTAAATTTAAATAAATGTTAATATATTCTGTAACTTATTGTTTGCCTTGCAGACCACAAAACTAGCTAAGTTTATGGGATATATCCTTATATTTCTAATTTAAATTGGAAAAAAAAAATAGAAATTTTATCTAATCCTATCTTATCCTATTCACTTGATTTTTGAATTAAAAATATTAATAACTTTTTTCTTATTATATTCTTTGATAACTTCTGGTTCATACACATAATAGTACATGTAAAATTTAGCAGTAATTAATTTAAACAGTTTTAAATATATATGTTTAATATTTGATGTAAATATTAAATCTAAGCATACATTCAAAAACACTTGGAACAATAAGTAATCATGGATTTGGTATCAAAATTACATTATCGTCATGTTAATGTTCAGCAACATTCTCAAACACCAATTAAGAAATTCATTAAATATGATACAGAAATATTTTTTTAAACAATTATTACCTGAAGCAATTCTATTGTTATTGGAATTTTAGACATCTTGTGTATGATTCGTAGAATCTGTAAGAAAATAATGAAATATTATTACACTATTGAAACTGTTATAACATATTTATATATTAAAATAAAAGCAAAGATTTAAAATAATAAGTTTATCATTTATTAAGTAAAACTTATCTATTTTGAATACATTTTTTTGAGTTCTCTTGTAAGAAAGAAAGTCAAAATTCAGCACATTTTAGAGGCTCTAAATTAATGTTAAAGTGAGAGAAAAAAAAGTTATCAAAATCTGACAAATCATCAACTTTATTTTTCTAATCTCAAATTAATTGGACAAAAAAAGATCATTTGATGCTAATTTTACTTTGTTTAATCAGGTTTTATAACAAAGATCTAGAGGCAGGATAAGGTATGTGTTTAATTCAATTATAATGAAGACCAAGATAATTTTATAAATTCCGTAAAACTTTTATTTTCATTTCTAACAGATAACTGTTACAAATCAGTGAGCTCTTTATTTTGGATTCAGCTTAAAATGCCCTTTTAAGAAATTGAATATAGTTTGAAATGCATGGAAATAGCTCAAAATGCCAATTCACGAAAATAGACACAGCTTTAAATATGTATTTAAGAGCATGAACACAAGATAAAATGTATCTTTCTAGTAGTGTTAAACTTAAATTTTAACAACTGAAACTGGGATTTCTCTTACTTTTTTAAACACTAAATAAACATAGGCATTACAGAGCAAAGACCCAGAATCTGAATGACTGCGCTGCAAATGGAGTATTTTAAATGATCTTCTTCATATTCAGATCTCTAAGAATAAAGTGATATTTGAAAAACTAAATTTCTACAAGCATTAACAAATATTTAAAACCATTATTATAAATTTATAGAAACTGTGGCAACCATTTAAAAGGAACTGCAGACCTTTAAAGTCTTTTGAAAAAAGAGACTAAATTAAAAATACTGTATTAAGTAATTCATACAAATGGAGGACTTAGCACAATGCAAATTTATTTTGATTTACTAGTTAATTTAAAAATAAAATATTTATAAGGAGTAGTTTGAAAAACAGAATCAAACAATCAGTCAATTTTCCTGAACGCGCATTTTAAAGTATGCTTAAATAAAAAAGCTCTTCAAAGAGATTTATAGTAGGGAACCGATTATCCGGAACGATCGGGACCATCGCTATTCCGGATAACTGATTTTTCCGGTTTTCTGAATCGCTACAAAAAGCCGTTTTCTTATTGTTAAACCCAACTAAAAAAATATATGTATTGGGAAATAATCTTAAAAAGAAGAAAAAACGATGAAGTAATACACTAATGATTATTTCCAAAATGATGGTGAGGTAAACATCTTTCAAAAAAGAAAGAAAAATCCTAAAATCTTATGAGGAAAAAAACATTTTTTTTAGAAAAATGGCGGGAAAATTTATCGAATTTCGTTCCGGTTTTTGGTTTTCCGGTTTTCTGACTTCCGGATAATGGGTTCTGTACTGTATTTGCAAAAGTCTTATATATATTTTAAATAATAGATGCATTTATATTATGCAAAAGATACTCTTTAATATGATTAATAAAAATTGTACTGGATATTTCAACAAATGCAATAAAATATTTAAACTTAAAAATATATCAAAAGAAAAACATATTGGACAAAAATAGATTAATAATTTAAAAGTAATAAGCAAAAAGTCTTACTAAAAAAATCATAAAGGTTTTGAAACTCTTTAAAGAAAGATACACATGCTTTTTTTTTCATACATATACATGCGCTACAAAGACAATATGAGAGATGATTTTTTATTCTTACTGTTATGCAGCATAAGCTATCATTTGGTCTCAACTTGGGAATCCCTCAAGTGCCGTTAAAACCAATTACATATTTTAATTTAGTGTTAAAATACCATGAAATTCGAGCAATTTGCTTGTTAGTGGTGGAAGCTAGTGCCTAGATGTTAAACTGTGTGTTGTTTTGATAATGTTCGATTTTTTTTTTGTCAATTTTTCAACATCACTGATACAAGATTGAGAACATCTAAGCCATTTGAAAACATTGCTAACGTTGTGAATGAAATTTTTTTTTAAATTTTTGTTAATGGGTCATTCTCAAAATTGACAATAATTCTTGTCACCAGATACTTGTAATTAAAGTTTTTAATATTAATTGAAATGGGCTATAAACCTTAATAAAACTTATAGAACACATTTCAATTGCAAATTTAATAAAAGATATTAAATATGTTAAGATTGTTAAATTCAACCTGTCACGTCTACACATCATAAAATTAATATTAGGTAAATTTAATTATATTCTTAGTAAATAGAATTGATATCTCAAAGTTATGCAATCTCCCCACTCTCTACACTTTCCCCTTCTCCGCTCCAAATATTACGGCAATTCTTTCCTCCCCCCATGGCGGTAGATTTCATTAAGTTGGAATATACTGGAGTGGGGAAAAATTTTCACGGAAAACATGGTAATGGATATGGGGAAAGTGAAGCGGGTGGAGAAATCAAGTAACCTTAGAAAGCCTATTCTATTTACGAAGAATATAATTAATTACTACTATTTGTATAGTTTCAAATATTCAAGATTTATTTACCAATTTCGAGAATTCAGTCTTAAACGTATCAGCGCAGTATAGAAAATCATGTTTTCGTTACGTCTGTGGGTACAATCCACAGACGCGATACTGTGTTCACTTTCCGATTACCTAGAGCCCTCACATCTTGATTGAAGGGCGAATGAGAATACAAGTTTTAACAGTTTCCTAACCACTTCAAACGAATTTTAACGTTATCTTTTTCGAAAATAGAATTTATTCTCAATTTATCAATTTTCTGACTAGCTAGAGAGCTTTAATATCAACTGGAGTTCTGAGTATGCTGACAATATTAGTTTAAATAATTTCTTTACCGTTACTAGCAGAATTCATTTCCATATAGAATTAATCGTCAATCGATATTTTCGACAAATTAACACGCATTTGAGCTAAAATGTTTAATTTCTTCACAGCTAGAAAGTTAACATTTAAACAGGAGCTCTGTATCTGATAACAAAACAAGTTACATTTGTTTCCATAATGTTGCAATCAAAATTCTCAATTTTATCACTAATCGACGTTTAAAACATATTCCAATTTAAACAAATTAACACACACAAAACGATAATGATACAAGTTTTTTTGTTATATTTGTGAAAAAATTGAATTATTTTTTGCTCCTTAGTGCATAAAATTATTATTTAATTTCATTACCAATTATTTCCCATCATTGAATACTTAAAAATTTAAACAATGATTATTTGTGCCATTTTCAAAAAAACTATGTACAATATTTATTATTTTACAAATTCTTCCTAAATCAATAAATTATTATAAGGAAAACTTTCGATCTAATGACACACTTATAACACTCAATATTTTATGCCAGTGTAAATGGTGATCACGCCTGGTGCACATCATTTATGTGTTAAACAAACTTAACTAATTTGAGTATAAGATCGAATCTACTATAACAATGTCATTAAATAAATTCAGATCTCTCTCAAGAGAATTTTAAATCAAATGTCTGTCAAATCATATATATATGTCTGTCATGTTAAAAGAATGATATTTTTAATCTAATCCACAAATAGTGCTTGCATCTAACGCGCAAACGTTTGAAACCTTTCCCACAAGAAAGTAATAATATTGATCTAATTATCTCAAAAAAATGTGATGATGTGGCTTTAGTAGCTTGGGAAATTGATCAGTCCCACGCTACTGAGACTTATTAATATTTAAATATATTGTCCAGAAAGATATAAAAACCCTCTTTCCAAGGTCAAATGTGCTACTCTCTACCTATCCACCAGCATGTAAGGTTGTCATTCTGGGGCTCTGGCCCTTACTTTAAAAAAATTATATTATGATTCCTGCATTTTCCTGTATCTTTTTCAAGAAGCACCGGCCACACTACGAACTTACAATGTTTATGCTTTCAAAGCGTAATATATATGTATGTATATACAGGAGTGATTGTGAGCCCAAGTCAAAATTACGGAAAATTTCTTGAGTAAAAAAAAAGTTTAAATCGAAAAATTAGAAAAAAATTTAAACAAGGTTTTTTCCTTTTTCTCAATATTTCTTAGTTTACTTAAAATATATTTAAAATTTTACACATACCTATGATGACTTGGAGAAGTAACTGAAATTTACAAATGTCTTTCTTTCTTGAGCTTATGATTATAATAACTATTTACTGATAAAAAATGAATATTAATCTTGAATATAAGCTTATAAAGTAGCTCTCCTTACAAACAAAATAAACTGCGTTTTTAAGTTCCACCCTTGAAAATTTGATTTCCGAAAACTTTTGTGATTAATGATTTTTTGAGACATCTGAACCTTCAATCTCCGGAAACTTCCGGATCACGGTTAGAGAAATATCCGGAAATCCGGATTTTTTCCGGAGCAAAATCAGCCCTGCTTAAGTTNATATATATATAAACACAGAAGACCTATGGAAAACTCTTCAAACTTGCGGGAATCGCATTTTAAGTTCAGTTGATTTAAGTGGAAACGAAATGCCTCAAACGCAGGTCTTATCAAGGCAAAGGGTGGGGCTCCTCGATGTTCTTCCAATAACTTCCTCAATATTTCTGAATAGATTAAGTATGTAATTTTGCTTCCTTACATTAACAATGTTCTTTATTTTGAAAACGAGACCAGTATAACTTAATTTTGGATTGATACGATGTCTTCTGAAATTCTTTGAAAAAACATAGGTTTGCTCAGACTTTCACAACTGTATTTACATAAATTGTTCCAATTTTTACTGTTTTCCCATTGAAAAATTTATCCCTATAACATTTAATTGCCATTTCAGTTATAAATTGAGAATTTTTTTTTTTTATATTTTGAGATTCAGTAATTCAAATAAGTCAGGAGAATATTGACATGCTTATGTAGAGAAAGTATGTTCCCGTGTCTGATTTAACTAAAAATGTCGTCTGCATAAATAAATTTATTTAAGAATCAATAAGATTGCGTGGGCACTTGCATT